GTTTCGCTTGGGGGGGGGGCGGCACCGGGCCCAGGATTTGTTCTTCTTCGGGTTGGGGTTCGCTGGGGGGGGCGCTTTCCTTTTGCGGGGCTCGCCGAGACGCGTCCCCCTGCGGGCGCCACGCCAAGAGAGATTCCCCGGGGGGGGGGGGGGGGGGGGTAGAAGGTGAGCATGCGGCACGACGCAAAAGCGACAAGGAAAAAACTGCTCCCAACAGGTGTACAGGCGAGCACAAGTGACACACCCGGGCTAGCGGCGAAAGACGCTCGTCGGGATGTGGGGAACAAATAAGCGCTGAACGACATACCCTTACTGCAGGTTCCTGCTGTCACTGAAAACCTACGCTCCTGTTTGAAGAAACTCTGTCCGGCCCGCGCGGTTCTGCGGCACGCAGCTCAAGGGGTACACGACGTGATTGCGTACGCGAGCGTACCTCAAAACACCCCACCCGCCTTGATCAGGGCCTTCGTCTGCTGCCGCTACATCAGCACGCCCGCTCAGAGAGGTGAATACCCTCTTGTGCACGATGTGCACATTCCCACGCTTCTCTCTCTCTGGACACTTCTACTTCTCCCTCCTTTGTCAAGAAATCTGTCGTCTCTTGCTAGAGAAACCTCTCTAGTCCCGTGTACACACACGGTCCCCCGATACCCATCGCCGGTGCTCGAGCAGAAGGCACCAAACGGGAGGCTGTGGGATGGAGAACTCCAGCGACAAGCGAGTACTCGCTCCTACGAGGACAAGACAAGAAAAAATGTGAAGTTTCACCCCCCCAAAACACACCCGTCTCCCGCCTCGAGGGCTATCGAAATACACAGACGCAAAATGTCCAGACACTCAGCGCACGCTCTCGAGCCATGCCAGATTAGATCGCAAAACTAAGTAGCTCATGTGTGGAACCACACATACCTTGCACAGGACGAGGCACTGCTTCAGCAAGTCGTGAAAGCGCTCTGGAAAGCCTGCCTCCACCGCCGTTATGCCGAACGAGTGCTCCTGCCCCCCGCGGTCGACCAGAGTCAGCAAGTCCATGCCCAGCACGGACGATGCGTGAGAGATGGTTGCCACCGTGAGCAGTGGCAAGACTCTCTGGGACGTGAATCCGAGAACGCTCGAGTGAAAACAGACGTGGCTGGCGCGACACGTGCGGGTGGGTGCATGCGGATGGATACGGGGCGGCGGGCAGAAAAAAATGTGTGTGTATCAAGGGGGAAACGACAACAAAGCCGGGGTGGAACCAAAACTTTTTCCAGCGAAAAGGGATTAGAAAAACACCTGCCCGAAAACCAACACTTCCGACACACGCCCGAAGCTCTGGAGGCATGGACTCCCAAGCACCAAGCCAGGATTTCAACAGCGTCTACTATCGGACCACAGCATCGCCAGTACGCGATCTTGCCTCCCGCCCCCTTGCCCAACCAAAATACATTTCCCCGCCGCTTGACCCGTTTGTCTCACTTGCACGTGAGGTAGAGCTGCCCGACGCGCTTCGCGTGGACCGCCTTGCACTGGCACAGCACGGCCTCCTTCGCCATCGGGCGGAAGCGGGCCGCGAACTCACGCCCCGCCGGGGTGCTGCTTGCAGCCGAGCCGCCGGCGCCGTCCCGCAGTGCCGCGATCAGCGCCTCGCGGTGACCTTCAACCGCTAGGAGGCGATCTCGAACCTACGGTCAAGTTTGGTGCCGTACGTGTGGTGAAAGAGGGGAAACGGTGGGCGGTGTGGTGTCTGCTAGGAGCGTGGCGGCTGCTCTAGAGGTCATCTGAAAACACCAAGGGGGGACTGGGCGATAAACATCAACAGTCGGGGGATCGCGATGTCACGAATCCCAACAACAACAAGCGGCGCAACACGAGATACAAGGGGGGTGAGTGTCGTTTTCACCGAGGCTGAATGAAGCTAGTGTTTCTTTATACTCGAGAGAGAGAGTTCGCAAACACATCTGACCTGCGCGTCCTTTCGTCGCACCCTCGCCTCCGCCTCCTCGTCGCACCATTCCTTAACGTCCTCCCAGGTCGCCCGAATCAACGACCGAATGCCCTCCGCCACCGACGAGCCAGAGCCCACCTTTGCACCCCTACCTTCGTCCCCCTCACCACCACCGCCACCGCCGCCACCACCACCACTTGCGAAGACGTTTTCATCGTCCACGTCGACCCCCTTCTGGGGAGGAAAAGAATCGCCGCCGCCGCGGACGTGTTCTCTCGCTCGCTCCATCACCTCCCGCGCCTCCTCTACCCCGCAAGCCGACACAGGCGGCCGTCGCGTCGTCAGAGGGTACGCCGATAGCGGTTTCGAGCGGGTCGGTCGAGGAGGCGCTAGGCCTGCGGCAGCACAGAAGAGAGAGAGGGGTGGACTGTTGGTTCTTGCCAGCAGCGACAAAAAAGTGAGGGTGTTGTGTCAAACGCATCGGTGTCGTTCAAGCGTGGTATGTTATGTTCCCATCTTCGGTAGGCTGGCTCACGCTGATTCCACTGGATTTTCAGCGCGTCTTGCTCATGAGGTTGCTGAATGATACAAAGATGGAGCCAGGGTGAAACCGACACAACACGAACACCACCACGCTTCATATTCAGGAAGCAGATACTTTGGTTGTGAAAGCGAAACGCCCGGAGGGCATCCACAGCGTGAAAATAAGGCGAGGGGATTACTCACCGCACGCGCGATACTGAGGCAGCAAGGTGGCCTCAAGCCTCGCAAGCCGCTCCTCCTCTTGTCTCACGAACTCCTCGAGGGGAAGCGCGTAGCGAGTCAGGTTCACGACGTTCTCGTGTGCGTACATGCCGACGAGGTCACTGCGGCCGTAACCCGGGAAAGAGGGAAGGCGGCAGAAGCAACTCTTGCGGTAAGGAACTGCCTAGCGCACGATTTAACCACAATATTAGAGTGTATGGGAAGGTAATAGCTGCCACTCCGGGCCAGTAAAATGTCACCGGCCGCCACCATAAATCGTAACACAAAGAGTCGAAGTGGCCTAAAAAATACCACGAACACTTGGTCGAAGTATCAAGTACAAGGCACCATCTGCACACCATATCGCTGGGTCTCCCAACCAAAACGGCATTCTTGGGTGGATGTCGGTGCTGCTGTCGCTCTAGACGAAAAAGCATAGGAAAGAACATGAGGGGTGACAGCCGGTGTTGGCACGTACAAGCGTGGTGCCCGGTCCAAAAACAAAAGTGTTGTCAACGCCGGGGAACGCACCGCACGTAGTGAGGGTCCAACGACACCTCTTCCGCGTCCGTGGCAAGGAAGCTCAGGGGCATCTGCCTCTCCACGAGCACGTTTCGAATCGCCGTGTAGAGGTCGTCGCCGGTGCGCCCAGAGAAGCGTGCTATCGTTCCCGCAAGGCTCAGGATGGGCGCCTGCTTCTGGAATTCAGAGCAAGAAGCCGGTGTAACCATCCGTTAATTGGATGAATACGAGTAGGAATCGGCAGGGGTCCAGCTACATCGGGTGTTGTGCGATGCACCTCGACAGAAAGTGGCGGCAGGTCGGATTGCTTGCCTAGGCTTCTAAGGTGGAGAGCTATACTTCGATACGGCGTGTGCGAGAAAGGGAAACGGAGAGGCAGAGACAGAGAGAGAGAATCAGATCAAACAATGAAGGGGCTCAAGAAAGAGCACCAACTCACTCTTGTATCCGCGTAGAACTGAATCACCAGAGTCCTGAGCTTATCCCGAGTTACGCCCACAGTTAGCTTTACAGTAGCCCAGTCACCCGGCGCGTCTGCCGACTTCTCCGCTGTAACCTTTGTGAGTTCATCGTCAAGCCGAACAGCGAATTCATAGTGAGCAAGCGCATGGGCGCATGGGATAAACGAATTGATCCGCGAGCTTGGGCCTGATCCAACGGTTCACCTCCGGGCTACTCATAAAAAGGGCTGCTGCTTCTTTGAAATGACCGCACCATATGAATCGATGGGACAATATGAAACGGGGGGTGCAATAGAGCGCACGCGTTTTGGTTTGCATTCTGTAAACCGATCAAGATCGTATCTTGAGAAAGCGGCCGATACGTTACAAGGGTCTTCGGAAACCGCAGATACAAGGCCATCCCTCCGCGACCGTATTGCATGGAGTACATTCAGTCGGAGAGCTCTCTCCCCTCCCAGCCGCCTCACCATCTTCTCGGTCTGATGCCTCACCACCAGCCCCCTGGACAGCATCACCCCCATGTACACGTCGGACACAGACTCCCAGGTCACGTCCGGCCGGAGGTAGACCTCGACGGTTCGCAGAGGCGCCGGGAGCACGTGTCTTTGCCCGCGCTCCTGCCCGGCGGCGGCAGCGTGCTCACCGCTTTCTCCAGCGCCCTGCCCCGCCTGGCCGTCGCCCCCTCCCCCGGCCGCCGCCTTGGCGACGAGCGCGTTGTCCGGCTTGGGAAACTGCGACACGTTACGCGGGTCGCGGATCTCAACGAAGTCTGGAAAGCCACCCTCTCTTGCGGCAGGTGGGGGCAGGCTTGGCAGCTCCGAAACCGGTGCTACTGCGAGTGCGGAAGTGCCTTTGGTATCTGTCTCTGCCTCCGCCATGCCGACCATGTCCAGCGTGCCTTGCCAGTCCAACGGCAGTTCATCCGCATCAGTCGACGCAGCAGCCGCGCTACCGTTGCCGAGGTCACCTCCTGCGTTCCTGCTTACGGCATGATGGGCATCTCCACGGAATGCACCGGTTGCAGCATCAACAAGAGAGGCAGGAGTGTTCGCGGCCCACGATACCATGCGCCCGCCCGCCGACATCAACATGCCAGCGGCTGCAGCACCGCTGCCGTATCCTTCATCGACGTTGTCTAGAATCTGGGGTTCCTCGCCCAGGACTTCCCCGGTCTCGTTGTTCTGTATCGTTGCATCCCGGTGCTGCTGCTGGTCGTCTTCGTCCTGCTGCTGTTGTTGTTGCTGCTGCGGCTGCTGGCCCTGTGGTGAGCTATGGATTGGTTGTGCTGTTGCGGTGGCAGATGCTGCGGAGGAATCAGTCTTACCCTGTACGCCCAGCCCTATCCCTTCAAAGTCATTCAGCCAATCTGCCGGGAACGCATCCGCTATCGCCTTCCCGTCGTCCGCCAAGAGCTCGCCCGCAGCACTGGTGCCCGTGACCTGTTGTAGCGCGGGAGGTGAGAGCGACCCGAGGAAAATATCCCCTCCCTTCCCGACAGAGCTTCTTCCTCCCCGGAGAACGCTAGTAGTAGTGCTCCCGCCGGAAGCAGTGTCGTCGATAGAAGACATAAAATCAGCGATGTCTTGCTCCTCCTTGCTCTGCCGCACCCTTTCCTCGCTCGCCCCTGTGCCGTGCACAAAGCTTCCGGCAGACGCCATGACCGCAAAGCCCTGCACACCCTTAGACAAAAGGTGTCCGTGCCGCAACTTTGACTTGCGTGCTGCGTGCGGCAGAGGGAACGCGCAGACAGCACTTGGATATTTCTGGAGGGGGGAGTGTAGGAGTTCCAGTGGTTCCGCAGGCGTCCATGAAGGCATTCGCAGAGCTCCTCTGAGAGAGAGGCAGTGCTCGTTGGTTGGTTGTTTTCGACCAGAAGCACCGTTCTTTCAGGCTGTCTCTCTCTCGGTCCCAACAGAACAGTACAACAGCAACATCAACCTCGGCTATTGTGTGCTTTTCCGCCCCCCAGCTGAGAGCACGGTGATCCACTTTCCATCCACGCTCTTGGGTGCCTTCTCCGCAGGAACCATCTCTGAAACAGCACATTGAGAGCACTGAGCGCTCGGTACAACCCAATCCCCCCTCTTCCCCAACTCATCGTGTGTTTCGTGCTCTGCTTCGGCGGTAATCGTCATCTTCGGAGCCGTGACTACAACAACATGGCCACCTTCTCCAACCTATCTTCGTTAGGAGACCACATCGAGAAAGACGACGACCGGTTACAGGTGCGGTGTCTCTTCAAACAGTGTGTTACAGACGGCAGAGATTGAGGTATGTATTGATGTTGGTCGCACGAGTCTGCAAGCAATCGTGCATGGGTTTGGTGGTCGGCACCATGGTTGGAGAGGATTGTATGCATAGCAGCGTCAAGCGTCAAGTGCTGCACTGGTGAGATGCGATGGGTTCATGACAGCATGATGTACACATCTCCTTTCACATGAACCGAAAATTTGCCAAAATGGATGTTTCTTCCTGCGGTGGTGGTGGCATCTGCGGTGCATGCACCGCTCGCGACATACAACAGTACTGAGACGCCAGCATGACGTGTACCACCCGCAATAGCTCCGCTATCGATTCGTCGCAACGGGTTAAAATCGGAATCGTTCGTTCTGTGCAACGCGATTTGATTGGACGACGGTGTGCGAATGCAGTTAACAAAAGTTTGGTCCGGTACCTAAGGTAACTTCAACTTCATGTGTGATGCTTGGTGTGTCGGTGTTACCACGAAACCAGTTGCTATGTTGTTGTTGTACTACCTTTTATTGGTGGTTGTCGTCGTCGTCGTCACTGCTGTTGTTGTTGTTATTTGTACTTTACTTCTATGTTGTTGTTGGTGCTGTGGCAGTTGCCGAACCGGAGCTTGTCTGGCCAGATTTAACAAGAACACGAATGACGTGCCATAATTGAAGCAGCGTTCCTCGTGGACGACAAACGCCTCTCAGAGGTGTCAACCTTGAGGCGACGGCTCCTTTGTTCGTATGTACCGAGTACTGCATTGTACCTCCCCTCTCGCCTATCTCTCTGCACTCTTCACCCGTAACCTAACGTATATCATCCCCCCATCGACCCCTACAAGGTGTCATTCTCAACTACCGCCTCCAGCGTCAAGGCAGCGGCAGCGACAGCCTTGGATGACAAAGCCCTGTCACCGCCCCTTTTTCTGCCCTCTTGCACAGGTTGGTCACTCGTCCTCTGGCGGCGACGAGCGATTACGCGGGCCAGCAGCGATGGCGGGGGGTGGCGACAATAGCAAGGTCAAAGCAGGAGACCCGTTAGCCCAAGCAGCAGCAGCAGCAGCAGTGGCAACGGTAGCTGTAGCCGGGGATGAAGACGGAAAAGGCGCGTCAGCGCAAGCGGCCGGGGCGAGCGGAGCGAAACTGGACGAGAGTGCGGACGTGCTCAAGCCCCCAGAGTCCAGCAGCGTTGACATCCGTATCGCCATGATCGGAAACGTAGACAGGTAGGTGCAAACAGCAGAAGATGCCTAGGAGTAGCGTTTTTTTGCTCGTTCGATCTGCTGTATCCCCGCTAACTAGCTGTTCGATTGACGTCATGCGGTCCCGCTCAGCTCCCGTGCCAACATCTACGGCTTCTATCATTGCTGAAATTAATTATGTTTTCATTCCTCAGCGGGAAGTCCACCTTGATCGGGGTTCTATCCAGCTCTGGCCTGGATGATGGCCGCGGCGCAGCGCGTAGCTTGGTACTTCGCCACCGCCACGAGCAGGAGAACGGCCGCACCTCCGCCGTGACGATGGAGATCATGGGGTATGCGAAGGACGGCAAGCAGGTGCGCTCGCCGTTTGGCGCTCTCTCCCTCGCTCTATCTTCTTGTCTATCCCTCTCTCTCTTTCTCTCTCTACGATTTAGCAATGCCAATGTCGCCTGCCGTGTCGACGTCGACCTCTTGGGCCAACGTTACATTAAACGTTGTCGTCGCCACATGTCGAGGTTCCAACAAACGCGCTAATCTGTTTGCCTTTTCGCACAGGAGTATTGAACAGTTGCCAAGAGTTATTGCTGTGCCACATGGTCCAAGTTTTTTCTGGGGATCGCTCTCCACCCAGTCTGTCTACCCTCTCACGGAGCCAACCAAGCACCAGCAGCTTGGGTGAAGGAGACAACGTGGCTTCTCTTGGCTCGGTGTTTTTCACGAAGGCATAGCCTCCCCGCTGCACTACTGACACACCGTTTCTCGCGACGAACGTGACGATGACGGTGCAGGTTGTCCCGACAGCTAGGTCACACCTCCAGCGTTGGGCGGAGGTGGTGAACCACAGCGACCGCAGCGTGACCCTCATCGACCTCTGCGGGCACGAGAAGTACCTCAAGACGACTGTGTTCGGCCTCACTGGTAAGCTTTTCAACTAGCCGTGTTCTATCGCTCCGTCGTGGTATTACATGTCAATCCATTCCCCCGCGTCAATTCCGTCAATGTAGGGGAACCACCTGGTCTTCGCGTGTCGCCCCACGCTTGAGCAGAATGACTCCCATCGCTGTCGCCGTTTGCGTGGCATGCTGCTGCTCTTTTTTTTTTTGCAATGACGTGCGTGGTGGAACAGGTTTGATGCCGGACTTCTGCCTGCTTGTGGTCGGGGCGAACATGGGCGTGCAGCGGATGACAAAGGAGCACATCAGCATCGCCTGCGCACTGCAGGTACATGCATGTTTCACGGCCGACCCTCGGGCGCGATTCAGAACATAGGAGTAGGTTGCGTGCTGGTTTTCAGTTTCTAGAGGTCACTCGCGTGTGCCTCATTTTTGTAACCCTGTCTTGTTGAGGATATTGTCTTATGTTTTGGTCATTAGTCTCTTCTTTCGCGTGTTTTATCGGCAACAATTGAGCTGATGATACCCAAACCGGCGGGAAAAAATGGCGACAGTTTCTACTTCTAGCTGAGAGACGTGCATGCATCCGTTAAACGCTTAGGTCCAGTTGAGACACTGCAGCGCAGCAACCCTCCGGCCACGCGCAGAGATTGCGAGTGCCGCCGTGACTTTATCGTAGTGGTATAAATATGTCGCATGTACGATATTACGCCGTGTCCATCTCTCCCGGCACCGTCGAAACACCCCTTTTCCTCACCGTCTTGCGCTTGTCTTGCTTTTGACGGGCCTCACCCTCATACCGCGTCCGTTGCTGCCTTGATGCCGCCTCGACACACACACAATCGCCTCAGATTCCCATCGCTGTGGTGGTGACGAAGGTTGACATCTGCCCGCCGACGGTCCTCAAGCAGACCCGGCAGGCGTTGGCGAAGTACCTTCGGCAGAACCAGAAGATGCCTTACCCCATCAAGGACGTGAACCAGGCAAGTGCACGCGCCCCCTCTCCGCGCGTTTGTTTGGTAGTGGAAGGCGTCTCTGTTAGGCACGGTGACTGGAAGGGCGCCTTTGGTCATGGCATGGGTGCGATAAGTGCGCCACCTCTTCCACGTCCTTCTTCCGATCAATATCTGATGATGGTTCGCATATCGGGCTGCTGCTTCTGATACCGATTCACGTCTTCGCTAATGATATAGCCGGTGTACTGCTATGGGAATTTCGCTGCTGTCTGTGTGGATAGGTGGACGCAGCGGCGGAGAGCATCGCTTCCGACCGCATCACGCCGGTGTTCGCCGTGTCCAACGTGACCGGAATGGGTCTGCCCCTTCTGCGCGCTTTCGTGGCGCGATTACGCCGCAACAAATCCAGGAATGACGACCCTACAATGCCGGTGAGCTGAGATAAATTCCTCGGACGATCGGGACACAGCATCCCAGCGCTTGCGGCAAAGAACATGGAAGATGGTGCTTGTGTCACTTGGTGCGAGGGTTTCCAGCGTCTGACGATGAGACACACGTACGCTTGCAAGCTGCGCTGTTGGAGGAGAGAGCGTCTAGTTGTGAACAACATATTTGCTCTTCTCGCCCCGTGGGAGCTATCGTCCATGAACTATTTGCTCTCAAGCTAGCCGAGCCGGTTTGAGGCATTGCCCTGGTATACCGCTCGGAATATCGAAAATCGCGAAAAAAAATCTAGCCACTACGACCCGTCCCACCGCACGGTGCGATTATAATCCAGGGACTTATTTCCTTTCCAGAGTTTTGTTCCTGACCCTGATCCCATCCTCGTGAAACTCGCTCTTTGCCTTCGTCCCTTGGCAATTTCGTTTGGCCGGCCTTCTTCAGATCCGGGAGTCTGACCTGCCCGCGGTCCACTTCCCCATCGACGGCGTCTACGAAGTAAGGGGTGTCGGGATCGTGGTCGGCGGGACGATGCTCCGGGGCTCGGTAACGGTAAACCAGACGCTGCTCATTGGTCCGGACCGGGCGGGCGACTTCATCCAGGTCACGGTGAGCCGCCAAGCGCTCGTCGCGTGTCCGGCGTTTCGTGTTGTCATTCCGTTTTTTTCTTCCTCTCTCGCTTGGACCCTGCTGTACATGTTGCCACGCCGAATACCATGGTATTAGTCGCCTGGCGTCAATGTTTTGTGACCACCGTGCGTATCGCGTTACGACAAGCGGACGCCAAGGCAAGGTTGCGCATTCTCCGTTGTCTGCGCCCCTGTGCGCCGTCCTGTCGACCACCTTACGCGTTGGTTGGCGTTGTTTGTGCCCTGGAATATTTCAATTAGTCACTGCCTTGTTTCCATTTCCCGGTGAAGATGCCCAACACTTGCTTTTGTATCCCCCCTTCATTGTTTTACGGTTCCAGGTCCGAAGCATCGAGTGCAAGCGACAAAGCGTCAAGGAGGCCAACGAGGGGCAAAGCGCGACGTTCGCCGTGCGCTCGCTCAACCGCCGCGTGGCGCTTCGCCGGTCCACCTTTCGCAAGGTATGTCCTGCCCGCGGCCAAAGGTAGCGCGTGCATATGGTAGTGGTCGATTTTCCTGTTTTGTGCTAGAGAGTACTCGTCGATGTGCATTCTGTTGTGCATCACCTCAGCGGGCACATCACGGGTGCTGCGGAGAGTAAAATAGAATTGCCACTTTGCTCCCCAGAGTTTTCTACCCTGACGGAAACGCCCACGAATGACGCCGCAGTCAACCCTTGAACAGCGCACCAAACTCTGTCCCACATCCGAAATGTAGCACGCAAGACGATTCGTGTGCATGCACCCTACGGTCCATACCCAACGCGGGTCACACCCAAAGCACAACGTTTTCCTCGCCGCCCGCCCCCCCTCCGCTGCCCCCCGACCGTAAATCGATAACAAGGGGATGGTGGCAATCGACGGGCAGGACGACCCCCGCGCAACACGCGAGTTCGAGGCGGACGTAGTAATCCTCCACCACTCCACCACGGTCGCTCCGGGATACCAGCCGGTCATCCACTGCGGAGTAGTCCGGCAGGCGGCGGCGATACTGTCCATGTCCGGAACCGAGTCTGGGATGGAGGCATTACGAACAGGACAAACAGCAACGGTCCGGTTCAGGTTCATGGTGAGAGAGAGCGGGGTGCGCGCCTCGCGCGCGCGCCTGTGTGTTTCTTGAATTTGCATCGAAGCGAAATGAGGGTACCGGGTTTGTGCGCTTGCGCGGAGTGGCCATGTCATGCGCCAAACGGGCGCGTTTTTGAGAATATGATTTATGATTCGGACGGTTGGGTGTACAAGTCGATAGCTGGGCCTCTCTTCGCTCACCTAAATCACCGCGTTTTGTTGTGCGCGACAGCAATTCCGTTGTTCCTCTTTCTTCGAGGTGTATTTTGTGTCTCTGTATGTACATAGCAGTAGCGACCATTCGTAGTTGTAGGCTCATTCACGGCACCATCGTCGCCAAATGCATCAGACGAATCTTGTACACGACACGCCGTCTTGCACCTCAAGCACCCTTGCCGCCAAGGATTTGATGGTTGCGATGGCCGCGGGCGCCGTGGTTCTCCCGCCAGCCCCATCCACCGCTCAACTAACGCGTGTGTTCTCCTCTCGCCGTGCGCGTGCAGTACTACAGCGAGTACATGGTGCTCGGCAGCACGTTCCTCTTCCGCGAGGGGCGTGCCAAGGGCATCGGAAAGATCCGGCGGGTAATAAACTAACGCGTGGCATTTAGCAGCGGAGCCGAAGAAAGGGCGGGGGACCAATTTGCAAGGGCTTCTCGTGAGTCGACGCCCGTGTTTTTTCTGCCTCCGCGGCCACACGGTCGTTCTCGCGGGACGGGGTGGCTTCTTGTTCGCTCTTTTTCGGGAGCCTGTGTGAGGTAGATCATTGCTGTGGGCGTTCGGTCGTTGTCTATGTAGGAATGGTCTGTGGCACGGGAGAGGCTCTTTGTTGGTATGGTGTGTGGCCGTCTCGTTGTCTCTGCTGCCGCGGGGCGAACTTTGTCAATTGAATGTAGCATAGGAATCGTTAGCTTATACATGGTGTTGTTGGAAAGAAAAAAAATAGACACATGCTTGTATTGGATTGCACGGCATGTACGTACGTGACGAGGTGCATGTCGTACGACCGTGATATGAGAGGGAAACGAGAGCGGGAATGAGAGATGTAGATACGCCTGCGCGGGCGTTCCATTGTGGTGGAAATAAGAATGGTTGCTTGCATCGGATCATTTTTTCTCTGATCCGCCCCAAGTCTTGACATTGAGGGAAATGTAGGGCTGTGAAAGCAACCATACATACATACCTGGTAGAATATT